AACGCAGCTTTTCCAACATGATTCTGCATGAAGCATGGATGAATTCTTTGAGCTTGACATCATCGCAGCTCCAGACCTACGGTGCACGTACGCCAGTCCTGATCACCCCGCTGCAGCACCCCCAAGACCCCCTCCACTACAAGACCCCGGCATTCATGACATGTCACACCTTTGCAGCTGAACAGACCCCTCCAGCACCGGCTACCGCTACATGAACGGGATCATGCACGACATTGCCCACATCACTCAGATCCGAGCATGTCCAGCACGACCATGTCTTCCAGTAGCAGTACAACATCCACTACATCGACCTCTTCGACATCCAGTTCGTCCACGTTAACTTCATCAACGTCTACTTCAGCCACATCTACGTTATCCAGCGGAGGGTTTAGGGTTTAGGGTTTAGGGTTTAAAACCTCGACCTCGACGTCATCGAGCACCAGCTCATCAAGCTAGACATCGTCGACTTCTACGTCCGCAAGCAGCACCGGCAAACCCTTGCCCTAAACCCTAAACCCCAAACCCTAACAGCACGTCGAGCGCCTCGAGTACCTTGAACGAGTTCAGCGTGTTCATTGCTTTGCTTAGGGTGATATATCATATAAAGCTTCATTCGTGACCCCTCTACCTCATCATCATGGACGTTCGCCTCGGCAGCTTGCTTGAGCATGTCCTTCTCCAGCAGATCTCCAACTACATGAATATGTGGAGCACTAAAACAAAAAGTGTGTGTGTGTGTGCGTGGTGTGTGTGTGGTGTGTGTGTGTGTGTGTGTGTGTGTGTGTGTGTGTGTGTGTGTGTGTGTGTGTGTGTGTGTGTGTGTGTGTGGGTGTGTGTGTGTGTGTGTGGGTGTGTGGGTGTGTGTGTGTGGGTGTGGGTGTGTGTGGGTGTGTGTGTGTGGGTGTGGGTGTGGGTGTGGGTGTGGGTGTGGGTGTGTGGGTGTGGGTGTGGGTGTGGGTGTGTGTGTGTGTGTGTGTGTGTGTGTGTGTGTGTGTGTGTGTGTGTGTGTGTGTGTGTGTGTGTGTGTGTGTGTGTGTGTGTGGTGTGTGTGTGTGTGTGTGTGTGTGTGTGTGTGTGTGTGTGTGTGTGTGTGTGTGTGTGTGTGTGTGTGTGTGTGTGTGTGTGTGTGTGTGTGCTTTTGTGGTGGCTTTAGCGCCATGGAATTTGCAGCTGTGGGTTGCAGGAGCAGTTTTGAACCCATTTTTGGGGTCCCAATTTTGGGCCCATTTTGGGGTCATAATTTGGGACCCAAGCATGTAAAACAATGCAAAGACCTCCTCTCTTTCTGCCAACAAGTAGGTCCAATTTTGGAAGCTTTTTTGGGCCCTGTTTTCGGGCCCCCCAATTTTAGGGAATTGCTGCTCCATTTTTGTCCACAGACAGCACGCCTGCAACGACAGCTGTCGTGTTGAGCTGAAGTAGAATCTCTTGTGGAGGTGGTCTGTGTGTTCGCAGCCCGTGAATTGTTGTCCTTGTTGCTGCTGGTTGCGGCTGCAACAGTAATTGGGATTGGGCTAGGGCATTAAGGGCTGAACTAAGTTGCGAAGTGCACGCAGAAAGGCGTTGCTCGGCTTGGCTGCCGAGCAAGCCTGGGAGCTCTTGGGCTTGGAGCTGGTTGTGCTGGTGGATCACGAGGTCTTGCATGAAACGTACGTCCCACAAGATCGAGGGCAGTCGTGCTTCCACTGGGAGTTGTTCGACTGGGCAAGAGGCCCCTGTGCTGTAAAGGAACTCCGAAGGCGGCCTCTGAGCCGTAGGCAGGGCTGTCACCGAAGCTGCTGTGCATCGCGAAGGTGTAGGCGGCGAGGAGGTCGGGCATCCAGCGGGAGCATACTCAGTTGGTGTCCCTGTGCTGTAGAGGAACTCCGAAGGCGGCCTCTGAGCCGTGGGCAGGGCTGTCACCGAAGCTGCTGGGCATCGCAAAGGTGTAGGCGGCGAAGAGGTCGGGCATCCAGTGGGAGCATGCGCAGTTGGTGGGCCCTCAGGCAAAATGTGCACGATATTGGGGCCCGGCGGGCTCTCAAGCGCATCGTGTGGAAACGCAGAGCGTTGCCAAAGAGCGATGCGCCGTTGATGCAAGTGAAGTGGATCAGCTGTTGCCAGCTGCGGCAGTAGGCCTCATCAGAGGCATCTTGAGCTGTCCAAATAGGCATGGGACTGTTCGAGGCCATGGGCGCGGGCGATTCTCTGGGCAAGGCAGAGAGAGAACACCGGGCTTACCGGGGCCTGGAGCCTCTAGAAAAGCAATTAGGGGCGTAGCGGCCTCGAAAAAAAGCTCACGATCTATGCACGGCCCCAACTCGGGCTAGGTCAGGGCCAGCTGAGCCAAGAGTCAGCTGGGCAGGGGCGAACATGGGTGGTCATGATTCGTGCGTGTCAAAACACCTGGGACAACAAAAAACCCAGTGCCAACGTGGATCAACCTGCAATTCATCATGCATCGGAGCCAACAGTGGCAGACCTTCGCCCAGCCGTGCAGGAAGAGCCGTCAGATCTGGCAACTGAGAATGCGGCAAAGTCCAAGCCGATCGTGGAATCCACACCCAGCGTGGAGATGGAGATGAGTGAGGTGGAGTGTGACATCATCGTGGACAGGATGGTTCAGGTTGCGAAGACCGCGGCAAGAGATTTGGGGTCACAAGCGAACAGCTCCTGGATGCCATGCAGATGACCTGGCTCCCGGCGCTGGAGCAGAAACTTTGGCGTACAACGGAGACATGTCTCTTGTGCTCACACAACCCCGGCAGCCTGAGGGCCTGGCAGCGGCACCTGCTCACGACTTCCCACTCCAGGATTGCCAATGAGGCAAAGATGACGTGGTACCACCTCTACTTGGTCATGAGCATACATGATGATAGAATGCACCCCGGCCTCTCTATCATGTTTGTTGCAAGTGCATATATTGAATCACGTTGCGTGTGCCATGCATCCTCACCTACGCCACAATCAGGCGCCGCCGGACAGGGAGCTCGACATCACAAACAAGTTCGAATGAACCCAGCATTGTGTCGCAGAATGCAGCTCTGCTCTTCAAGCAGCTGGTTGATGACCTTCAGGGGGCGCAATGACGCCCAGTTTCGGTCTCTCTTAGGGAGGCATGCCCGGCAAAGGCCTGAGGTACTTGGAACACCAGACCTCCCGCTCAAGCATCAGTTGCCGACGCTGATCTCTGCGTGCACGGATAAACAGAGTAGAACCATCCAAGGAGAGCCAAGAATGCATCACCACGACTTCAAGACACCAGTCACTTCAAGTCCTGACAAGTCACGATGGAGAACGCGCAGATGGAAAGTACGAAAGTGGCCTCGCAGGTCGCGTACGACACGTCGGGGGCGAGGGTTGCGACAGCTGCCCCACTGTCGCGGGAGCCTGTTCACAGACTCCACTACGAAGGCTTCAGGGCGAAGCAAGGGGCCAGACACCAACTACAAGCGAGCGACTCAGATTTTCCCTCATTGTTCCCAGGAGCTGTGTTGCGGAGAACTGTACGCGCATTACCAGTAATAGGCTTTGTGCACAGGTGTCAACAAATGGGAGTCGCGGCCACCGCTGTCCCGCACCACGGAGGTGGCTCATCTCATGGATGGACTGCCAAGAGGGCTTACCGTAGAGCCAGACAAAGAGCCAGCGCTGTAGGTGCCTAGGATGAGGGTCAACGGCACACTGCCGATACCCTGGGGGCCATTGCCACCACACCGACAACGCCAGCTCAGTGCTTGTCCAATCGGTTACGCATTTGTTCGCACAATGTTGGCATGCTATCTACGGATGCACATGATGAATTGATGTCATGGTTGCAAATTAATCAACACCAGTATGATGTGATTTGCATTCAAGAAACGGGATGGTCCCTGGAACACCTGTATTTGAGTGGGCCGTGGTGCGTGATTAGCTCGGGACTCTCGGCGGATAGGAACAGCGGAGTCATGGTGCTCGTTGCTCGACGACTTCTTCCATCCGACCGCGTCCGATGTGCGGCAATAATCCCGGGAAGAATCCTCCACGTCAAACTTGAATTCTACAATCACCATGTTGATGTCATCAATGTGTATCAACATCCTTGGAACACAGCGGTCACCGCGTCCAAGGTTCTGCATAATAGAGACCAAATTTGACCAAAACCATACCATTGGACAAATGGCGGTGAGGAACACACTGCTTGTCTGCGGAGACTTTAACACCCCTTTCAGCTTGTCAGGAAGAGTGAGCTCGGGCATCCTTCAGACCCAAAAATCAGGCTTTTTGAATGGGGTGGCAGACATTTGTTGCATGGCTCCATTCCATGCAAAGTACACCAGCCAGCCCCCCCAGCCAAACATGCTCACGCACGCTAAGACCTCTTAAATGCAGCGCAAAACAATTCGCAACCACACCGGGGAACATCGCCAGCAAGGTCTCAAATTGCAGGGCCTGTGAAAAGTTTACACTTTCCTTGGTGTGCTTAGTTGTTGGCAGTACAGAAACTGTCTTACAGTTGCATGTCTGAGCGAGAGCTTTGTTTTGGCATGGCAAGAACTTGTTTTGGCATGTTTTGGCATGGCATGACGTTTGGTTCAGTTCCCTGTGATGAGTGTTGAAAGCACTGAGCTTGCTTTGCAAAGCCTTGAAGCAGTGCGTGTGAAGCTCTGAGGGACAGACCTTTGCAGTTACTCACTCCGTGTGCATGCCCACGTCGTTCGTACCGTTACGTGTGCGTTGGGAACCTGACTGAGGCATGGTGAGTGCATGCTGTTGGTTTTGAGACAGACTTGAAGTCCTGAAGCAATCCCCAAAGGTTTTGCATGTTTCTTTTGCTTTCCTCCTTTGTGTAGCAAAGTTGAGATGGAATTTGCAAGCCTTGAGACCTGAGCTCTTGGAGAGAGCTTTCTGCTGACATGGACAGTCATGCTGAACACTACGGTGTTTGGCTCAAGTGCGACTTGCGAAAAGAACTGCGCGAGTGCTCTGCTTTTCACATGGTAGCGGAGCCGCCGGAACTAGTCTGGGGCTCGTAGAACGCCATGGCCGCGCCTTTGTCTCAGCCCACAGGGCAGAGTCCCCTAGCGAGTCCAGCAGGCTCCGTAGCCGCTGAGATTCCTGTGCCACCAGAGACAACGCAGCAGGAAGAAGAGTTGCTGTTTGGTACTGGCCAGCCTGGTGGTCAGCAGACAGCTGGAGGCAACCCTTTTCAGGGTCTTGGAACTGCAGCAGCAACTCCTGCTGTTCCGACTGTCCAAGAACGCATGCTGGAGATGCTTGCGAATATGGTGCAACAGCAGCAAGAGCAGACGAAGCAGACGCAACAAATGCTCTCTGCCATGCTGCGAAGAATGGACTTGGAAGACGAGAGGCGTTTCAAGGCCGAGCGTGAACGTGAGGAAGAAGCAAAGAAAGAAGCAGTTCCAGTCGCGAACCGTGACCCGTTTGCAACTTCGGGAACAGCATCGGCAAGTAGCAGTTCAGGGCCGAAGCCGGCTGGAAGCGGTGGGATGGCGTCCAACCGTGCAGACAAATACCTGCCACAGCTGCCTGTCATAGCCCATCAAGAGATGGGTAGAGACAGGATGCGAGAAATCGAGGCTTGGCATGGTTTCTTGGAGACGCTGAGTTCATGGTTGGCGCTGCAAGATGAGGCCTACGTGAACAATCTTCGACTCTGCATAGGTGTAAAGGACGAGATCCAACAGGACCGTTTGCCAGCTGACACCGCAGCACGGTCAGCGAAGCTGTTTTACCTGCTGTCGCAAAGTTTGGCCAAGTGGGAACGTGGTTTGGAGTTGCTTCGAAGCTGCAGCAAGAGACAGAACATGTCTGCGACCGGCTACGAGGCAGTTCGCACCATCCACATGAACTACTCGATAGTGTCCCGAATGGAGGCGGTCTACGTGCGAGAGGCATGCATGAAGATCCATGCTAAGTGCGGCCACCTCAAGAAGCCCATGGACATCATCCGACATTTAGAGGATGGCATCGCCAAGGCAGAAGTGAAGCTGAGCAACTTTCCAGAGCTCAAGCTTACAGAAGCCGACCGTTGTTCCTTGCTGCAGGCCGTGTCGCACCAGGCGCGGCAGTATGTAGCCCTTCACGGAAATGCCCAGTCTTGGGGGGAGCTCACAAAGAGCCTCAAGTACTTCGAGGAACAGTTGAGGATGTGTGAGCCCATCCCGACTTCATCGTCTCGGTCCATGAACGATGATATCCTTTGTGACTATTGCGGTCGAAAAGGCCACAAAAAGGATAAGTGTTGGGCTAGGGAAGGGCGTCGGCTGGCTTACAGAAGAAAACCTGGAATAATTAATTTTTACAAAATTTCTGAAAAGATTTCTGAAAAAAACTCTGACTCCAAAAACATTTCTGGAAAAAAGTCTGAAATATTTTCGCGGTAGAAAAATATCAGACTTTTTTTCAGAAATTCCGAATCCCCGCTCCAGTGGCTGGAAAATCAGAAAAACCATGGTATATACAGCATATTTCTGAATTATTTTCTGATTTTTTTCTGAATTCTGATCTCCCCGCCCCCCCCGCCCCCCCAACCCCTGGACCCTGGAGGGGGACATGTCAAAAAAAACAAAAAAAGTGCTGTGTGTACCATGCTTTTCTGACTTTCCATGCCCCATGGCGGGCATCCGGACCAGAATTTTTTCAGAAATTTCTGGGCATCCGGAACGGGGAGGGGAAATCAGAAAAGGCATGGTATATACAGCATATTTCTGAATTATTTCTGATTTTTTTCTGAATTCTGATCTCCCGCTCCTAGGGGAGCATTTTCAGAAACAATCATAATTCACCCCGAAGCAAATTCAGAAAATGAATCAGAGATTTTTCATAGACCAGAAAAATAATCAGAAACTTTTTCAGAAATATTTCAGAAATTCAGATCCGCATTTGCTTGATAAGCCAGAGGTGCCAGTTACTATGTTGGGCTCTGATGCAGGACAGGAAGTGCTTTCGTCATCGTGCCGACGAAGTTATGCAGGGACAAGCCGAAAGTACTTCTCGGCCCCTGGCTTGTGCAAAACGGCCCCATTGAGGGAAGCCGATGCGTTGAGCAATTTGCCAAGAGGGCTCCACAGAATGGCGCTGCTTTATCTCTGGCTCATGCAAGGGATGAGCGACGGGGGCCTCCTCTGCTCTGGGAGCATGGGGTCGTGCCGACGGCGCTCTGATGCAGGACAGGAAGTGCTCTCGACATCGTGCCTACAGTGCTGTGCAAGGGTCCATCCAAAGCCGAAAGTACTTCTCGGCCCCTGGCTTGTGCAAAACGGCCCCATTGTGGGTAGCCGATGCGTTGCGCAATTTGCCAAGAGGCCGCTCTGCAGAATGGCGCCGCTTTATTTCTGGGTCATGCATGGGATGAGCAACGGGGGCCTCCTTTGTTCTCGGAACATGGGGTCGTGCCCGACGGCGCTCTGATGCAGGACAGGAAGTGTTATCGTCAAAGTGGAGCTTGCTGTGGGTGTCAGCCAAACACAAAAGAGCCGGCCCGGTCCCAAGTCCGGGGTACGCAGATATCTCTACAGCCTGTTCAAGATTATACATCTAGTTGGGTCTGCGTATGGTGTGAGGGTTCCGGTCCTGTCCGCAGGGGCCGGGGGAAGCGACATGCAACAACCCTGAACAGCTTTCAAGCGCTGAAGCAATGCGGAACACAGCATATATATGGGCAACGTGGGCAAGATCCCACCCAAGGTCGTGTGACTGTCGTTATGACTGTGCCCTTAGTCTTGATGCTTGGGCATTTGTGTGTGCCGACTCTTCGGCCACAGGAGTTCCAATCAGGATACGACAATGTATGGAATTGCTCTGATGTCCAAACTCATGGAGCTCTCACCTTCGAACGCAATAGCTGGAAGGAAATGTGGCGACATTCGTTGTGGACTGTTCGCTCCTGCTCCCCACCTAGCCCTTGGGAATCTGTGGGTTGGCCCGTGGCTAGTTCGGACAATGAGGCAACTTGCGCGATGCGACGAGTCACTGTAGTTCCGAACTCTCCATGGAGGTCCTCAACTGATTGCTTCTGAGTGCGATACATCATTGAGCTGACCACGTTGTTTTGCACCTGTGCTTGTATAGTGCATGTACTGACCGTGGGTGTGATTGGTGGTTGCTTGGCTATTCGTAGCGGATCACCTGCCTTTTTTCTCATGTGGAAACGGAAATCCGTTGCGCTCTTGAATCTTGAAGCGCCGCTGCAAGGCAGTGCCACTAGGCTGTACGCTAAGCTGTGGATCGAGACTGCGGCTGCGACTGGAATGGAATGGAATAGTAGTAGTAGTAGTGCCGCACGGTTCACAGCAGTTGGGAAGTCAACCAGCCTCCAGGCCGAACGCGCAAGAGCTCAGCAACAGGCCCTGCCTTCGCAGAAGCTTAAGGATTCTGCCTTTGCCTGAGCCATTTTGCCATTGGAGCTACGAGTCGACTCTGCTGTGAACCGCCGGGTCCCAATTCCCGGGCCTCACGCACACCGACAACAACGAGTTTGCAGAGGTAAGCGGTAGGGTTTCCACTGTTCCGCGAGGTGGAAGGAGTACCCTCTTTAGTGACTTCATCATCTATGTTTCTGGAGGGGAAAAACAAGCGGATGGCGAGCCGAACGCGCCTCAGTACATTTCTCCTGCCTACACTTTTCCATTTACAAAAGGTTCTGCAGCACAAAGACATCCTTGGAGCAGTGCAACATTGGTCGACTTCAGAGCCTGGTTGCTATGCAAGCAGTATCAGTGCTGAGGCCTTTTGTGCTTCAAGCAGCTTCCCCGGGATGATCCACTCAGAGATCACTGCAATCCTTTTCTGTGCAGTTTATGCGAAGTGGCAGCTTCTTCTCCGAGACACTCATGCTCAAAAGCCGCTTCGCAGACAAGTACGTGACTGGCCACGACACGCCCCCTCCCCCCCCCAGTTCGAGCTACGTATTGCTTTGGATACTGTTGAAAGGGATTGCAGCGCAGCTGACATGCTGCTTGCTCCGGGGAAAACGTCAAACGTTGGTGAGGATGAGAAGTCTCCGATAAGGTTGTACGGACTTGCAGCACAGCTGCCAAACACAAAGCTATCCAACGGCCTTCAGCACGACGTAATCCTCCCAATGCTGGCCCCGCTGAGCACCCTTGTGTCTTTGTGGCCCAGACGGGGCGCCGGGCCGGTCTTGTCTACAGGACAAGGTGCAGGTTGGGACACTGCAACCACAGTTCTGAATGCTGGCCCCAACATGTCACCAACGCCTAGTCTTGCAGCGGGGTGCGAGAGCCGGGACTCGCTCTTGTGGCGAGGAGCAGGTTCGCCCTCTAGCAGTTTCTGCACTATATGGTACGGCTCCACGACACGGCTGGGCACAGACTTTCTGATGAGCGATATGCCGCTGCCGCAACACAGTTGTGAGCATCCAAGGACACAGTCCTTCACGGCCTTTACCGGCTGAACGTCTTACGGCCCTCCGCTGGTTGTCGTGAGTTACCTAGTGTGGGACGCCACTAGACGGGAACTCAGGGTGTCGGCCCATCCGGGTACGGCCCACCGGCACCAGTGCGTGAGTATCGGACGCGATGACTCACATTTAGGGTGACGGAGACAGTCAAAAGCGAGTGAGTCTGAGCTGGGCCTTAGGCAGTTTCAGTTATCATTTGAAGCCGATTTGCGAGCCTGATGTTTCTACAGCTTTGTACAGCCAGCTCAAGCAGGCCTCATTTTAAACTCTATTCCTTGTAGGCATTTCCTTTCCCTTCTCTGAGGCATCGGCAAGTCCAAGGATGCGCTTGCCTTGTGTTCTTTTCTTTTCTTGTTATCGTACGTTCGTGGCAGAGGTAGCAGCCTGGGCCTAGGAGCTTTAGGTTCGTCCATTGCTCTTCAAAGGGCTGAGGTAGGTAGCTGCGATTATCGCAGTGCAGTCCCCCCGCGCCCGCTCCAACGCCTAAGTACGAGATGTTCTGCGTGGTCTGAGGTTGGCGCTTGACAAAATTCGGAACTTCCAGAAAGTCCGCAAAGTGTGGACGCGTTTCTATGGTGAGCAGGATGCGGCCAATTGGGCACAAACTTCCACGGCGCTGCTTCTAGACCCTACGGATTTCAGCAACAACCTGTTGGCCAGGGAGCGGTGGCCTTTCTTTGAGAAGCTGGCCGTGTATGCAAATCACACCCTCGACCGTTTGCATCATCTTGAGCGGGGAGTTCCTGATGTGTTGATTGGTTTGTTTCGCCCACAGCCAGACATCTGGGTGCAGATGCCCTTCGTGCCTCGGAAGGGCTCTTTTCTCCTCGGCGGGGAAGGGCAGAACGTAGAAGAGGCGCAGCCGCGAGCTGAACTGCACAGGCCTGTTTGTCCACTACATGACATGGACATCATTGCGCACATGCTGCATGGCATGCTGGTGGCCAGGCGCTTTGCCCTTTTGGAGGCAGGCAAAGGCGCTGCAAATATCAGCAGCGATGAGCTTCAAAAGATGATCTTCGCCGATGCTCTGCACGAACTAGAGCAATGCGTGAACACGGCGTATGGCACTACAACCTGGAGCCCCTCCTCGGAGTCTTAAGCAAGTCGGTGGTTCTCATCTTGCCGGTGGCAGCGGCCGTTTCAAGTCGGGTTCGAGGATGCCAACTCAGAGATGATACCGGGAGTTCATGTCTCGGAACAAAGCAGCCCGTACTGGCACCGCCAGCACCTTCCACGGATGACCGCCTACAGCGCTTGAGCGCTAGCGACGAGGGACTGAATGGTCTTAACAGTTTTGCAGTTTTGCAGTTGTCACATGGCGGCTTTAGTTTACACTTGTTTTCGATGAGGAAGACAGTGCTCCAAAATGATCTGCTTGTGAGCAACAGCAAGCTTCACCACGGCATGTTCAAAGCATGTTACCATGATATTGTCAGGCAGCATGGAGACCATAGACATCATGGAGATCATCATTACGAACTTTGTACACCCCAAACCCTAACGCCGCTACTAACGCCTAAATCCTGACGATCTTCGGGGTTATGTCCGATCTTGAACCTTCCCCAGCCCCCAAGCAAGTCCCATAACATGACTGGTGAGGTGAGCACAGGCACCGGCACAATCTTGTGGAGTGGTTGAGGGGGCAGCAGTTGGGTTGTAAGCAATCTCGCATGCGCAGGGTTCTGTGGAGCCCTAGAGCTTTAGAAATTTCCAGAGTGTGTCGGTTTACACTTGTTTCGGCGGTTCATCCACGGGCACGCTTTCCAAGTCATGAACACACTGTCAACAAGGGATAGAAGCAGACAAGGTGCATGAATCTTGTAAGGGTTTTATGGTGTGTGAAAAGCGGTGTTCATGACAGGTGAAAATCCTTATTATAATGAGTCATTAAGGCAGTAAAACCCGTACTATGAAGAGAACAGAATTTGAATGGGTCTTGTGATGCAAGCACGAAGTCCATTGAAATAATGTGAACGAAATATGAGGCCCTTGTGTACGTATTGTTTGGTATTTTGGGAATCTAAACATTTAGAAGTTACATCAGATTCGTTTTGCTTTCTTATTAATAGTTCTTGGTGATTATTCTTTGCTCTGCAAGTCGAATCCGCAGTTTGCATGTTGAACATCTCCTGACCAGGCTCGAGGCCCACGATTTACATTTTGCAGTACTGTAGACTCTTGTTTGGCCATGTTCAGCTCAGTGTCGCCATGGTCCTTTTGTTCCGCTCAGACGACGACCCCGTTGATGTGCCACGCGGCGGCGCTCCGTGACGCCAAGGAGGCAGACCCATGGGGCGCAGCGCTCTTCCCGATGTACGTGGTTGCAGCAGAGGCCGTGCTCAGCATGACGGAGATCAAGCCGCACGAGACGCTCCTCTTGGATCGCGTAGTCAAGGACTTCCAGCACTGCGAGGGGAATGCGATGTTCGTGTCACACCAGTGGGCCGGCTCCCAGCATCCCGATCCGAGTTTCAAGCAGTTCAAGGTTCTCCAGAAAGCATTGAGGAACATGGCAAAGGCACCGGTGGTTTCCGCCAATATCGGCCTCGAGTTATACGCGAACACGCAGCCCCACGACGCAGGAGATCTGTCCAAGGCGATCTTTATTTGGTATGACTACTTCTCGATCCCCCAGGCAGACCCCACGTCGCGAGGGCTAGCGATCAGTAGCATTCCCAGCTACGTGAGGCGGGGCATTCCCAAAGTTCGGGGCTCAGCGCGACTGTCTCTGCTGTGTTTTTGGGGTTGCTCTCGATCTAGGGTTTCCGACCCCGTGCAGGCGATGCCGATTCTTCGTCATCTTGTGCCCACACATCTATCACCACGAGCAGCGGACGTTGCTGAACAAGGCCACGTGGAAAAGCCGCGGATGGTGCAGACTCGCACCTCAGTGCAACGTGAGGAGGTTTACTCCTAAACTGTAAGCCCCAACCCTGAATCTACGCAGTCATCGCACCAGCATGGGAAAGCCCGAACACTTGAATGCGAAGCTAACCTAAAAACCCTAAAGCACGAAGACACAAAACATCATCATCCCCGAAGAGGCCTAAGCCCTAAGCTGCTTAAGCCCAAAAACCCTGCGCACCAACCCACTAGCCAGAATCCCTATGGACCCCGCAGCCCAAATCCTGAACCTTAAGCCGTAAGCCCTAAAGCACTAACCCACCAACCATAATTAGGATTTAGGATTTAGGGTTTAGGGTTTAGGGTTTAGGGTTTAAGGTAATGCCCCCAAACAAGGAACAGGCCGCTTGGGCGTTGAGCGCATCGGCCGAGGAGGAAGAGGTGCCGAAGGGAGCAAAAGGGACTCCCCCCGCCCAAACCCCAGATTGGGACCTGAAGTATTTAAACCCTAAGCCGTGAACCCTCAACCCTTGGGTTTAGGGTTTAGGGTTTAGGGTTTGGGGTTTAGGGTTTAGGGTTTTGGATTTTGGGTTGAGGGTTTAGGGTTCAACCCCTTGTGATTACACGGCAAGGTCTGCCCGATTGAGATACAAAGCTCCACGCAGCAGGCCTTGGTGGCCTTTCGGCTAGCAGTCCATTCCCCCGCGCAAATATTGATGGGGCTGGGGTTCAGGGCTTAGGCTTTTTAAGGTTTAGGGTTTAGGGTTTAGGGTTTAGGGTTTAGGGTTTAGGGTTTAGGCCTTAGGGCTTCATTTAAAAGCCATGATCATGCCACAACATACTGAAATGGGATTACTTGTTGGTAGAGGGGCGTGGGTGGGTAATCAAGCGGTGCAAGGGACAACCGTAGTTGAGAGCTGCCATCTTGCCAGCATCTGAGGATTCGTGGGATTGGACCCGTGCGCCAGTGGGTACCGTGGGCTGGATCTTAGAGTCGTAAGCCTAAGCCCTAAACCCTAAACCCTAAATCCCAAACCCTAAACCCGAAACCCTAAACCCTAAACCCTAAACCCTAAACAACCCTAAACCCTAAACCCTAAACCCAAACCCTAGACCCTAAACACTACACCCGGCATCCTTTGAGCCCTCAGCCAGATTTCAAAAACAGGTGATGGGCAGTTCTCTTTGGCCTCCGATCGCGGGAAGCTGGCCCCGGTCTTCGAGGGGATGCTTCGAAGGAAGTTGAACTTCCACCTCGCCCGTGGCCTGGTGGCCCACTAGAGGGTTTAGGGTTTAGGGTTTAGGGTGTGGGGTGTAGCGTTCAGGGTTTAGGGCTTTCCTGTTTTGGGTTTCGGGTCGAAGGTGTGGGGGCTTGGGGCTGTTTAGGGCTTAGGTGCCCGAAGCCTAAAACCAAAGCCCAAAACCTAAGAAAATGTGCGCCTGTCCCAAACTGCTTCCCCCCCATAAGTAACCGACAAAGTAAGCACAAAAGATCAAATCAAGCCCTGGAACGCCAGATGCCTCAATCATCCCGAAGATCTGCACCCTAAACCCCTAAACCCCAAAACCCTAACGCCCTAGAATGTCCTGAAGCTCCAAACTTCCGACCCTCCCCTAACTCCCAGGTGGTGAGCTCCACGATTATCGCATACTCCTCAACTCACAGCGGATTCACCTCCGAGGCCTCCCCATCGATCGAAGCTCATCTTTCATATTGCTTTGCAGGGATGTGTGGGATTTAGGGTTTAGGCTTAGGGTATGGGGGTTTAGGGTTTAGGGTTTAGGGTTTTGGGGATGTTTGGGAGTTTGGGTTTAGGGTGAAACCCCTGAACACAAACCTTACACCCTATAAACCCTACTCCCCGAAACTCGCCCTCTTCTGCCCCCACAGCCTCGAAAATGCCTGGATCCTGCCCCGCTTATGCGAAAGCCTTCCTAAACCCTAAACCTCAAACCCTAAACCCTAAACTTTAAACCCTAAACCCTAAATCATGAAGCCTTAACTGGCCTAAACGCTTCCCTCCAACACCTCCGTCAAATGCTAGGAATTGTGGATGTAGTGCCCGGCTTCCAATGCGATTTTCAAGATCCGGCCGCCTATGACCTGGCGCTCTTCATGCACTTGATGCTGGGCCAAGAACCATCATGTGGGGTTCAGGGTTTAGGGTTGAGGGTTGGGGGTTTAGGGTTTGAGGTTTGGGATTTAGGGTTTCGGAGAGGTTCCCAGCGGCACCTGATAGGAACCCGAACATTTAAGGTTTCAGGGCTTGGGGGGGTAGGGTTCGGGTTTATGGAGACTCCAGTATCCCCTTAAATCAGTTGATGATGTTCTCATCTCGGATTTGTAATCATCATTGTTCTGAATGAGGGGAAGTTCTCAATCAACAAAATATAGAAGAGGGATGAATGTTGGAGGGCTGAAAGGAGTAGGGGTTAGGGTGTAAGGTTAAGGTTTAGAGTTAGGTGACAGGGACACTGTTCTGCAGACCTGGCACTCTCGCTACACCTGCGGGTTACATGCACCTGCAATCAGGGCAAAATCCATCTGGGGTTCAGTGTGACTTTCGATGGCTAGCAGAGTTCCGTGGGAATGTTGTTCTCTGTGGGGCTTTACTGTAACTTTAGATCCTTCGCCTTTTTGGGTTTATTGGGTTTCTTAATACGAAAAATTTAGTTTACCCTCCTAAGTGCAGCCAAGCGTTCTGCTTGAAGGAATACGCTGCAAAACCAAAAAGTCCGAAGCGTCATTTGTTTAGCAGCCCCAGCTAGGCTAAGCCCTAAGCCCTAAGCCCTAAGACCTAAGCCCTAATCCCTAAGCCCTAAGCCCTAAACCCAAAACCCTAGGCCCTAAACCCGAAACCCTAAACCTTAAACCCTAAACCCTAAACCCTAAACCCAGCAAGGAATGGCTTCCAAGAGGTGACGGCTCCTCGACTGCTCAAGCTTCGGCCTTATGCTTTAGGGTTTAGGGTTCAGGGTTCCTAAGAAAGGTTGGGTTTAGGGTTTAGGGTTTAGGGTTTAGGGTTTGGGGTTCAGGGTTTAGGGTTTAGGGTTTAGGGTTTAGGGTCTAGGGTTTAGGGGTTCAGGGCTTAGGGTTTAGGGTTTAGGGTTTAGGGTCGAATCAGCCACGGCAATAGTAACTCTACTAATAACCCCACTTCTCACGACGCATGAACCTGCAAGAGGGGTTTATGAAGGCCTGCTTCGAGCCTTTGGGTTGTTTGTGCCTTTGAAAGGGGGTTGAGGGTGGCCAAACCTGGTTTAGGGTTCGGGGTTGATGGGGCAGTTTGGTGAAGTGATCCCTAGACCTAAGCCCTAAGCCCTAAGCCCTAAGCCCTAAGCCCTAAGCCCTAAGCCCTAAGCCCTAAGCCCTAAGCCCTAAGCCCTAAGCCCTAAGCCCTAAGCCCTAAGCCCTAAGCCCTAAGCCCTAAGCCCTAAGCCCTAAACCCTAAGACCCAAAGCAGTGCGAAGGGCGGGGTCCGCAGGAGCGCACGGCGGAAGGGTGGACGCCGATTTGCTTCGCTGCGCTGGACGGGAGCCCTATGCTCATCGCCAGTCTCCTTGAACACGGTGGGCCAGGGGTTTAGGGTTTAGGGTTTAGGGTTTAGGGTTGAGGGTTGAGGGTTTAGGGTTTAGGGTTGAGGGTTGAGGGTTGAGGGTTTAGGAGGGGGGCTACCCTAAACCCTCAACTTGCAACCCGAAATCCGAAGCCCCAAGCTTTGAACTGTTGGATCTGGTTTAGCGTCCATGTATTGGGTGTGTTGGGAGTTTTGGTACTTCTTGGCTTCGCACAGGCGATCTGTATTTCTAGCGAGAGGTTGTTTAGAGTTTGGGTCCAAGGGAGGTGTCTGAAAGAGCTTGATGGCAGGGCACATGAGGGTGGAAGGGGCATGAGTGGGTTCCCTTTCCGGGAGTGTGCCCTAAACCCTAAACTCTAAACCCTCCTAAACCCTAAACCCGAAGCCCTAAGCCCTAAGCCCTAAACCCTAAACCCTAAACCCTAAACCCTAAACCCTAAACCCTAATGAGGTCCTTAATGGGGGGCGGCCTCATGGGGGAACAGGACCAGGGAACCTTTAGGGATCCTCACAGAGCCTTCCAGAACATTGGGGGTTACCTTTCTAAACCCCCCCCTCCCTTAAGGACCTTAGAGCTGCGGTTTAGGGTTTAGGGTTTAGGGTTTAGGGTTTAGGGTTTAGGGTTTAGGGTTTAGGGTTTAGGGTTTAGGGTTATCCCCTAAACTTAACACCCGAAACCCTAAACCCTACGTGGCTTTCTTGTAAGAAGACCCAGTCGCCCAGCAGCATCCCACATACGAAGTTGCAGAGAGTGCAGAGAGGGGTCTGCGCTATAGTCTCGGAGTTTAGAGTTATGGTTTTAGGGTTCTTGAAGCTTCCCTGCGAGAAGTTTTGGTGCCCTAAACCCTAAACCCTAAACCCTAAACCCTAAACCCTAAACCCTAAACCCTAAACCCTAAACCCTAAACCCTAAACCCTAAACCCTAAACCCTAAACCCTAAACCCTAAACCCTAAACCCTAAACCCTAAACCCTAAACCCTAAACCCTAAACCCTAAACCCTAAACCCTAAACCCTAAACCCTAAACCGTGCTAGCCTGTTCACTTCCAGGTGCGGACATGAACGATGTGATTTTAAAGGAGGACCCCCTCTACCACTTCATGCCCCGGACGGGTGTGCCGCATATGTGCGCGTTCCCAGCTTTAACTGAAGCAGCGCTTTTATCAGAAGGCTTTTTGGGAAAGTGTGTGCGGGGGCCTTAGGCTCGAAATAGGTTTCGGCACCAGCTAGCCCTAAGCCCGAGACAGGGGAGATTCGTTGGTAGAGGGGGCTCGATTGAGGGTTGACCGAAGCTGAAAAGTCCCAATATTTCAGGTTCCTGGGACACAACGAAGCCCTTCGCTTGCTCATTGAGTGCAAGGCCGACTTAGCGCGGAAGGTCTCTCGGTTGCAGTGCGGTGTTGGGTTTGCAGTTAGGGTCCTAAACCGAATCGTAAACCCCAAACCCTATAAGGTGTGGGGTTGAAGGCATAAGGTTTGGGTTAAAGGATTCGGACAACAGGTGGATTGAGACTTAGGTTGGAATCTTGGCACTTGGTCTGCGGAGTTACCCGAAACCCTACACCACAAACCATAAACCCTAAACCCTAAACCCTAAACCCTAAACCCTAAACCCTAAACCCTAAACCCTAAACCCTAAACCCTACACCTTATGTCTTTTTTTGTAATGGTTTTGTTGTGCAGGGCTTTGGTTTTGCACTTTGAGAAGGATAGGGTCGGACTCAGTCTTTTGGCGGCCCTTGTGGACGCACGCTCGATGAGCTTCCTGAGTTTCAGCACTGAAAATTCTGGGGTTCCAGGAGGGCGGCTCTGCTCTCAGTCCTCAATACTGGTGCTAGGGTTTAGGGTTTAGGGTTTAGGGTTTAGGGTTTAGGGTTTAGGGTTTCGGGTTGAGGGTTTAGGGTTTAGGGTTTACCTGGCATGAGCAATCAAGGATTCTATCAATGCCACTCCAATGCACTGGGCGGCGATCGGCAGCAATCTGGACGGTATTGACATTCTCCTGTGCCTCAGCTGCCTGAAGCGTTAGACAGCAAATATTCCTTCCAGGATCCCACCCTAAACCCTAAACCCTAAACCCTAAACCCTAAACCCTAAACCCTAAACCCTAAACCCTAAACCCTAAACCCTAAACCCTAAACCCTAAACCCTAAACCCTAAACCCTAAACCCTAAACCCTAAACCCTAAACCCTAAACCCTAAACCCTAAACCTTGCACTCCTTAATGCAGGGCTCTGGGGCTTCATCATGGGCTGACAGAAGAGCACTAGATGGTCGACTTCATCTGGCAAGTATCTAGCAGGGGCACAGATGATGTACATGTGGCCCGCGAATTGCCCCTTTTACAAAATGACACGTGGGAACAGACTGCTAGTGTAAGGAGGAACATCCCAAGAAGACACCTTAGGTTATCTGGGCACCCCCCTGTTATGAAGCCCGAAACTGAAGACCCATAGTCGGAGGTTCATGATACTTATTAGCCAAGTGTAACTGTACTTAAAACTGAACTTTTCCAACAGACTAGGGCACTTCAGGGGCCGTTGTAAGTACAGTTATAATTGGTTAATAAGTACCACGAACCTCCAAGTACTCTGGACCCTAAACCCTAAACCCTAAACCCTAAACCCTAAACCCTAAACCCTAAACCCTAAACCCTAAACCCTAAACCCTACACCCTACACCCTACACCCTACACCCTAAACCCTACTGAGGAATGCCGGCTGCAGCTGCTTGGAGCCCAATCTGCTGGGACACTCCCCCTTCGAGTTGACCTGTATGTCGGGATCAACAGGGTGCATGAGAGAGCTGCTTCTTGGCTGGAAGGTTTAGGGTTTAGGGGTTTAGGGTTTAGGGTTTAGGGTTTAGGGGTTTGGGGTTTGGGGTTTAGGGTTTAGGGGTGATGCAGGTTGCCGTATGTCACGAAGCGCACGATCTCACTGGGGCTTCATGCGACCTTCATTCACGGCGGAAGCTCCGCCCCGATGGTGAAAGCACTGCCCTTTGGAATGGAGTTAGGGTTTAGGGTTTAGGGTTTAGGGTTTAGGGTTTAGGGTTTAGGGCTTAGGGCTTAGGGCTTACCAGGTGTAGGAGGCTTATCCTTGGTGTTGTCCAAAGGACTTTCCTCTTTAAGCCCTAAACCCTAAACCCTCAGCCCTTAGCCCTCTTTTTATTGCAACAGGAAGCTCGGTCGGCATGTAAGGATCGAAGCGAACGCAGATGTGAACCTGGGATGCTGTTGAGTCAAGCTCTGTTGTTGTTGAAGAGCCCAAGTGAAGGTAACCTCAAGCGCGAAAGCCCAGATCCTTGAACCCCGTGCCTGTTTCTCTGCCTCCCTAAAATAAACACCCACCAAAAGAGGCTTCCCCTCACTAATTCCTGACTTCTGGACCTTGGGTGTTTGGGGGTTGGTGCTTCGGGGTTCAGGGCTTCGGGTCCCTGGATTTCAGAATTTAAGAGGGGGGGGGGGTCTGTTTGGGCAATGCCGTGTTCGTGCCTGTGCCCCCAGCACGCGAGACTTCCGCAAGAGGGCACTGCGACAAGTGCCCGCCTCAAAATGCCATAACCCTGGTTATCGGAACCCCAAGATACCGCATGTTGATGACATGGCAAACCACTGCAGACCCACGAACCGCTTGAAATGCTTCGAGATCGTGTTTCCCCTTGGTTTATTGAAAGAACTAGGAAGTCTTGATTTGTGCTACGTTGACGCATCTTTTGTTGCAAGTCTGGCAGGGTCCAGTGCCCTGCATGAGAAGGAACCATCAGCAAGACGTTCCCTTCTTCAGCGTCCTTGGCGTGATCTTCGCGGCTTTGAGCATGAAGCATCGCCTGAACTTGTCTCAGAACTCCATGCTCAGCAACTATGCCTACCATCAGTATGATGCCACGCCCCTGATGTGCAGCATCCTAAGCGGCTGCTTCGAGGCAACCTTGGTGTTGCTGGCAGCAGGTGCAAGAACCGACCTTCAGAACGCGCGCGGGCAGACCGCCGAGGACTTTGCAAAGGACGTGGTGGCTCCAGACCACATCGTCTCGGCTCTGGTGGAAGCTACCGGGAGCCCCCCACTGGGCGAGAATTGCATTCGAGAGGACTGGTGGAATGAGACCATGATACGGCCCACCCTTTCCTGCCGCAGCCAGTGACTGCAGCTTGGCAGTTTTGGAAGCCATTCAGCTCATGTGGATCAGCTTGCCTGTGTTGTGAGTCATGTGGTGTTTGACCGCCTTTTCCTCAAAACAGGCTGAACACATTTCGGTTTAACGAGCCACCAGATTGCGAGATGTGCAGCCTAAAGCCTAAAGCCTAAAGCCTAAAGCCTAAAGCCTAAAGCCTAAAGCCTAAAGCCTAAAGCCTAAAGCCTAAAGCCTAAAGCCTAAAGCCTAAAGCCTAAAGCCTAAAGCCTAAAGCCTAAAGCCTAAACCCTAAACTTCCAATTTTTGAACAGCCCTTGAACTCCGAATTTTCTTGCATCCCTTAAAGGGATGCAGCGGTCTCCTGGAGGCCGCGAGTTACTGACCAAAGAGCATTCCAATTCCAATCATCTCGTCATTTTTGCAAAAGTATTCTCATGTTCTGAAAACAGAACTTAGCATTCTGGGTTCCTGCTGCCTGAAGCAAACTTAGCATGGGTTTAGGGTTTAGGGTTTAGGGTTTAGGGTTTAGGGTTTAGGGTTTAGGGTTTAGGGTTTAGGGTTTAGGGTTTAGGGTTTAGGGTTTAGGGTTTAGGGTTTAGGGTTTAGGGAGCCGGGCAACTTGGCATAGAAGGGTTTTGTAGCAGAGAGCAAAACAGGAACCCGGAAGCATTTTATCAAGGCAGAGAACTTCTGCATTTTTGGCTGTGAGGGCCTCTGGCTTGGCTGGTTGAGTTCTTTAAGGCTCAAAACCCTAGGGTTTAGGGTTTAGGGTTTAGGGCTGCACATGGCCACGCCTGCAAAGCCTTCACGAGCATTTAAACTTCTCTGGTGCAGCATAGGGAGTCGCGGAGCGTCCACAAGGGCATCTCACACTTTAGGGTTTAGGGTTTAGGGTTCAGGGTTAAGGTGATTCGAGAACACTTGCTGTCCAAGTTCTTTGTCGTCCGCGATTCCTTGACGTATAGGATGCCGGATACAAAAAGCCACGTGTGGCCCTGGAGTTCCCAGCGGAGCTGGAAGCACCACTTTGTCCCTCAACCCCAAACGCAGAGTACCCTAAACCTAAACCCTAAAACCCAAAACCCAAAACCCTAAACCCCTAAACCCCTAAACCCCTAAACCCCTAAACCCCTAAACCCCTAAACCCCTAAACCCCTAAACCCCTAAACCCCTAATTAAACCCCTAATTAAACCCCTAATTAAACCCCTAATTAAACCCCTAATTAAACCCCTAATTAAACCCCTAATTAAACCCCTAATTAAACCCCTAAATAAACCCCTAAATAAACCCCTAAATAAACCCCTAAATAAACCCCTAAATAAACCCCTAAATAAACCCCTAAACCCCTAAACCCCTAAACCCCTAAACCCCTAAACCCCTAAACCCCTAAACCCCTAAACCCCTAAACCCCTAAACCCCTAACCCCCTAACCCCCTAAACCCCTAAACCCCTAAACCCCTAAACCCCTAAACCCCTAAACCCCTAAACCCCTAAACCCCTAAACCCCTAAACCCCTAAACCCCTAGCCCTGACTTCCCCCAGCGTCGCGAGCACGTGCAAGTCAACCAGGGAGATCCCTAGCGTCGAAGTGCCCACCTGCAAGCTGCAGGCTGAGGCTACTAGGGTGCTAGGGTACTGGGTTTTGGAGATTTAGGGTTACTAGGGTATGTGGGGTATTTGGGTTCAGGGGTACGAAGGTCGAGGGTATTAGGGTGCACCAGTTGGCTGCAGTGTGGGTGCAGTTCACGTTTAGGGATATGCAGCGGGTTCCTTGGCACATGGACACCCAGACCAGGCTGTTGCGAAGCACAGCTGGCCAAGACCGGGCGGATAAAAGCAGCTTTACCATGGGGGATGGATCTACAGGACTTTTTTAGGAAATTATCGGACCATCTTCCAGCCTGAGCAAAGCAATGCCATTTTCCACTGACTTGCCTTAGTTGACTAGGCCACAACATGCTTGGACGAGTGTTGCGACAGACTGCATGTTCCTTAGTGCTGGTGAATTGCGCAGGCCAAGAATCCCCCAGAGGCTGACATATTAACCTGAGTCATGCACGTGCGCTTGCGGATTTTTTTTTGCAGTTTTCGATGCCAGAGAGGTTCGAAATTCCTCACCCCCTATTCCCTCACTTTGAACGAGCGATGCCTCTTGTCAAGGGCATGCTCTCTTCCCAGAAATCGGGTGCACGCAGTCGCGCGGTAGGAGCATGCAATGCAGAGACGCGCAACCTGAACCTTCAACCCTCAACCCCTCAAGAAAGCCCTGAACCTCCTGGTGAGGTGAAGGCTTGAGGTTATGGTTTCGCGTTTCCTAGAGAGCACGGTTTAGGCTTGAATTCTTGTTTGTGGCCGTGGCTGGAAGTTCTGACATGTGCCTTCCCTTGATGCCGTCCCCCCTCCATTGCATCGTGCTATCGCTGCCTTCAAACCCGGGTTTAGGGTTTAGGGTTTAGGGTTTAGGGTTTAGGGTTTAGGGTGCTTGACTACTCTACACGAACCCCCAGCATTCAGCGAGCCTGGCGACTTGTGACCTTTCGTGCCATGTAGAGATGCGAGCGTCATGGCCGCGCCAGTCCGACGTGTGTTGGCGTTAAGTTACGCAGGGGGGATCTCAGGGCTTTGGGATGTATGTTGTTCAGGATTTCGGGCTTAGGGGTTGAGGGTTCTTAGGGTTTTATTGGTTTAGAGTTCAGGGTTCTTCCCTAAACCCTAAACCCTAAACCCTAAACCCTAAACCCTAAACCCTAAACCCTAAACCCTAAACCCTAAACCCTAAACCCTAAACCCTAAACCCCGCAGCGCGACGCCAGGCGTGGCTTCGGCAACATGGTGCATCCCAATGCGGTGGTGGCGCGACGAGCCGAGCGGGCTGCATTTAGACTAGTTCTCATACCGCGCCCGAAGCCCTAAACCCTAAACCCTAAACCCTAAACCCTAATCCCTGAACCCTAAACCCTAAACCCGAAACCCTAAACCCTATGTGTGCAAAGGTTGGGGCTTTCTTCCTACCTAAACCCCAAGGATTTGGGGTTTAGGGTTTAGGGTTCCGTGTTTGAGAGCCATCAACGTGTAAAGTCAGGGCAGCTGTCGGAGGGGGGAGCTAGAGTACCAGATAGCAGGGCTCCATGCGGGGTATGTATGGGTACTTAAAGGACCCCGAAATCCCTGATCCTCGAGCCCCCTTCAGGCGCCCAAACTGTGAGGCCCCTAAACGCCCCCAAACCTAGACCCTAAAACCACTTAAACCATCTAACTCCTCTAAAACTTTAAACGCTAAACCATCTCAACCGTCTAATAGATCGCAACCTGGCAAGGAGCTCGCGCGCCAGGAGACCGGTGCGGGAGGGAAGACGACCCAGCAGTGAGCTTTCTCAAAGTTTCAGGGTTCGCTACTTCAAGCCCTATACCCTAAGCCCCAAACCTTAAACCCTAAACCCTGGAAATCTAAAGGCTCAGTCTTGGAAGTTTTGGGGTTTGTTCCTTCAGGCAACTGGTTTGAGCAACCAACATGCAAAACCCTGGTAAGGGTCCTTAGAGGAGTCCTTCTTGCTTTAGGGTTCAGGGTTTATGCTTAGAGGCCCGAAAAATCCCAAAGCTTACTCCAAACCCCCTTAGCAGCCCGTGAGAAGCTCTTGCTCGGTTTTCTGGCTTAAAAAATGGGGTAGACACCTTTAGCCAGACATGCGGGTTGACCGAGATATCCCTCAGGGTTTAGGGCATCCTTAAAACCCTAAACCCTAAACCCTAAACCCTAAACCCTAAACCCTAAACCCTAAACCCTAAACCCTAAACCCTAAACCCTAAACCCTAAACCCTAAACCCGAAACCCGAAACCCTAAACCCTAAACCCTAAACCCTAAACTAAAAGTACCAGGCCTCCCTGAACGCCCCACATGCGGAAGGGGCATAGCCCAGTCTTGATGGCAAGAGTATGTCGGTGAAGGTTTCGGGTTTGGGGGGCTAGGTTTTAACCTTCAACTTTCTAAAGCCGACGAGTCCAAATCCCGCGTCTGCACTCCAAAAGCCTCCACGCCACCCCTCACCACCAAAACAGTGCCGCAAACCCCTAAACCCCTAAACGTCCTTAAAACCCTAAACCCCTAAGCCCCTAAACCCCGAAAACGCGAACCCTCTAAGCCACTAAACCCCTAGCCCTAAAACCCCTAATTCTAAACCCCTAAATTCCTCACCCCTAAGTACCCCTAACCCGAAACTAAAGTCCCCAAGTCTGCCTTTGCTTCTGGGCGCGGAGCGGTCCCTCGTGGCGCCATGCCGTCCATCCGCGAGGCGCTGGCGCCCAGCAGGCCCAGCCGTTCTGGGCTGCGGGACGCTGGGGCTCAAACCTGGAAAGCTTGGGTTTCGGGATTGTTTTGGGGGAACGCTTCGCTGAGTGTGCCCTAGAAGATCGCCTTCCGTTCGGGGTTCAAGGTTTCTTGGGTCAAGTCCGAGGTGGTCTTCCTGGACTTGGATGGCGTGCTGAACCGCACGAAGGCTGCGACGCACATCCGCCTCGATGAGGACCTTCTGTGGCGGTTCAGAGCTCCCTGGCCGAGCTCAGAGTTGGGGCTTTAGGGTGTAGGGTTTAGGGTTTAGGGTTCAGGGTTCAGGGTTTAGGGTTTAGGATTTAGGGTTTAGGCTTTAGGGCTTTAGGGCTTGAGGGCTTAGGGCTTTAGGGTTGGGTTTCGGTTCCTCGGATCAAGTGCAGAGGCTTGTTACGGACCCGGAAGTCAGAGACCTGGCACAACCGCTGATCTCGTAACCTTTCGCAGTGTTCGGCCCGAGGTGCAAGGTGGAAAAAGGGGGATCCTCGTTTAGGGTTTAGGGTTTAGGGTTTAGGGTTTAGGGTTTAGGGTTCTAGTTTCCAGGTGATCGGTTTGACAAAGAAAAGCTTTCACAAGGTTGGGGCGCTTCATCCGCTTCCAGGGCCGAGGGGTCTTTGTCTTTCCGGAGCAGATCCTTCTGGGATAGAGACATCCGCGTGAGGGCGTCGTGGTGTTGTGTCGGT